GAGAGAGAGAGAGAGAGAGAGAGAGAGAGAGAGAGAGAGAGAGAGAGAGAGAGAGAGAGAGAGAGTTTCGTGTGCGATCCTAGCTGGTAAGGGCCAATAAATCCACGAATGCAGATGATTCGCCAAACCCAAAGGATGAGCGGACAGACAAAAAAAGCCATGGGATTGTCCCCAGCATTACACATCTGGCCATCATGCCATCGACTGTATACGACCGAGGGCGAAGACTAAGTTCCACTTGCCACGATTCCTCATCTCTGACCATCGATTAAGGAGGTCGATGGCCACGAACGAGGAATCGATTCCACTCGCCACGATTCTTCATTGCTGACCATCCCTGACCATGGACTGTATATGACCGAGGACCAAGACCAGGTCCCACTTGCCCGACGCATGTGGGACGTTGCCGCGGGAGATGAATTTCCGTGTTCTGACAGCACGAAACGGTTCTTGAGGGAATGAGTTTTTTCTGCTTCGGGCCTTTTTTTTTTTTTTTTTTTTTTTTACTTCGTATTTGTAATCATTTTATGGACACATACATCTCTTAGAATGTAATCTGTGTAAGCTAAGCTGGATGATGCTTCCAGATACCTTCGGGTTCTAATGTTGAGGATCCCCGGCCTCTATTTCCAACTGAAATGAAAATTGACTGTTTGAGTGAAAAAAAAAGAAAAAAAGAAAAAAAGAAAAAAAGAAAAAAAGAAAAAAAGAAAAAAAGAAAAACAAAAATAAGGAAAAAAGAAAAGAAGAAAAAAAGAAAAAGAATGTAATCTGCGATTTAAAAAACAAAAAAAATCCTCCTCTCCATCAGAGTCGATTGGAAAGAGTCTGCATCCCGGGACTGCGAATTCGGGGATTTTCTATGCGCGTGATCTGCGCCTGGACGTGCGGATGTCCAGGTGCATTCTAACAGAGGCGTTTGAAGAATTCAGCCAAAAGTTGAGTCGGTGGGTTCAACTGACTGAAGTATGGATCTGGCTGCAAAACTGGCTCGATTCATGCCAACTTAGCACAAACACAAGACTGGTGCCCAGGCCCTGATCGGCCTGTGGTTGCCGTCCTTCTTCTCGGTAAGATGTGGAGAGGACGTGAAAGAGCCCAGTACTTTCGGGAGAAGGACTAAACTAGCCCTGGCAGAATGCACCTGGACGTCAGCACGTCCAGGTGGCAGTCAGGCAGTTCGCCGTCTGTACAGTCAGGTGCATTAGACAGGGCTATGCTTTGCTTGTCGTCACGTTGTTTCAGCTTGAAGGAGAAGGGAGCAGGGGCTGAGTTCATATTACATCTCAGGGCATACTCGCATGATTTTCATTAAAAAAGAACAGGATTATGTGGACTGAATAAGGCATGTATTTGTGGTCGGATACATCCTCCGTAGTCTGCGTGTGCATGTAGCTTTGCAAAAACCGCTTTTCCAATTACATCCAACAAACCTTAAGAGGTCGTGACTGTGCCGCACTCGCGTGAACCTGGTCCTAAGACCGAGCAGGTTCAAAAGCGGACCAGGTGGCATGATGCAGAGGAAGTGGCCTCAGCCAATCCTTGAGAGGGTCAGTGTCTTCAAAAGTTGCCTTTTTTGCTACAATTTCAAAGGTCAAAATGCACCTGGCCGACTGCACCTCCACATGCAGATCATGCACCTGGCCGTCTAAGACGTGGAGGAACATTCTCACAGAGGCATTGGAGCGAATGAGAACTTGTGAAGGCATGGGACCAAAACGCAGTGTTATGTATCGTGAAGGTTCTTCGGGTTCATCCTGGGAATATTGAATGAGGGCATACTCGCACTAGCAGTTTCTTAAATGCATCTGACTGCAATTACGGCCCGGCCTGGATGTATCTAAATCCAATCGCGTCCAGAGCTTAGTGGAAAAAGTCATCGTGTGAGTAATGCCCTGAAAAGGTAAACAAGGGAGGTACAGGAAACTGGAGACCAATGCGAAGACATTGGATAACATTTCATCCAAAAGAATCACTACTGGTAGTAAGGATTAACTCATTGATTCCACTGCAGCAACCACCACCGCAACCAGCAGCAGCAATTGCAACGACAACAACCATCTGCAACAACTGCAGCAACAGCTACAGAAGCAACAACAACAATAACAAAGACAATGCAAACAACAACAACAACGACAACAAGAACAGAAACAAACAACAACAACAACAACAACAATCACAGAAGACGCAGCAGTATGAACAAGAACAAGAACACCGACAACAGAAGCAGGAGCAGCAGCAGCAGCAGCAGCAGCAGCAACAACAACAGCAACAACTACCACCACAACCCGCAGCAGCAATCGCAACGACAACAACCAGCTGGAGCAACAGCTGCAGCAGCAGCAACAATAATAACAAAAACAATACAAACAACAACAAAGACAACAACAATATTGTAATTGCCATTGTAGCACGTGTGTAGCCCAGCCCATAAGGGCCATGCGGACTTGACGTCATCCCCACCTTCCTCCAGTATATCACTGGCAGTTTTTTGTGAGTGCAGCACATCGTTGCGATGTCTTAGCAACACAAAACGAGGGTTGCGCTCGTTATAGGACTTAACCCAACATCTCATGAAGTCAAAGTACATCTCTTACGAGGAGTTTCTTTCATATATCAAGGGCTGGTAAGGCAGAATCGTTTTTACTCGGCTGAATTTAGGCCCTCCATTCAGGCCCGTTCATGGCCGGTATAAGCGCCGCAACTTGCTGGGTTACTGGTGGTTTAACTTCAACGTGAAAAGTTAAGGTTGAAGAATCAGTCGCGTCAGTGGGCCCCTGAGCCATCGCCATCCCATTGACATAGACTCACAGAGCCTTTACCTCCTAATGCCTGGTACTCGGAACTCTCCCCAACTCATCTATGGCTATTTTTAGTTTTGGATAAGTGCACCAACTTGGAACTCTCCTGCAAAAAAAAAAAAAAAAAAAAAAAACCTCTCCCGAACTCATCTATGGCTATTTTTAGTTTTGGATAAGTACACCAAGATAAGCCTTGACTTTTCCAGTCCTTTGGCGCATCCCTTAAAACTGGAGCGATACAGAGAATGAAGATTAGCATGGCCTCTGCATAAGGATGACACATATAAATCGAGAAATGGTCCATAAAAGAAAAAAGAAAAACCTTGACTTTTCCCTTTTTTCAAGTCTTTTGCCTATAAATAAAAAGACATACACCCAAGGACGTTCCAGCCCTCCCAACTTCAGCCCCGATCTCCCTCCGTGACTGTGGGACTCTCGAGCACCTTTCCTCAGCAGATGTCAGTGCTACAAGTCCAGCTCCGAACTCCCGCAGGCAGCTGTGGGATTCCCGAGTTAAAAAAAAAACAAAAAAACGAAAAACAGAGGTACACCCAGGCATGCTGCATGTGCCCGGACAACTAATGAATGCACAATTGATTTTCATCCCTTTCCTCATCTTCCCTTTCCGATTTTTGTCTGATTCGGATTTTTCAAAAGAAATCAGTGGCACGGCGACTGATTGCCGCCTTCCACTGTGATTGGTCAAGTACCTGACTCCCCCTCCTCCCCCCCCCCCCCCTCCCCCCCTTCCTCAGTCCATGACAGTTCCTTTCAGGGCCTGCTTTCAGTCTGTAAACCACCAGTACAGCCGGGCATGTAGGCGCTGCACCGCGTGCCGAGCTTGTCCGAATTGCCAGCGGTGCAGTTTTTCTCGTTTTTGGCTGGCGCTGCCAGCCATTGTGGTCTGGTAGGCCTGAGCCGCACAATTTTTGGAATAGGCGACAAACAAATTTCTGCAAGGCTGGGGCTGTGTACCTGTGGTGGTTGAAAACCCTCCCTCCCTTCCATTATTTGAAACCCTCGATTTCTCCCACCCATCCTTTTAAAACTTTTAAAAGGTCTGGACCCCTCCCTTTCTCCTGTGGGTTGACAAAGGGGAAGAGGACACTGGGCTTGATCTCCGAACAAACAGTTCGACAGGCTCACGTCTTTTTTTAACACAGCCGGAAGCAAGTTATGCTCTTGCTTGCTGGGTGGGAGCGGAGGGAGATGTTGTGCTAGCCCCGTGGCCCCCTCCCCGACACGTATGAAAACTGAATCATGTTGTGTGTAGTGGGGGGGGGGGGGAGGAAGGGGGGGGACGGGGAAGGGGTGTGCAACACTTCTACCTCCCCCTCCTCCGACCCAACAAAGTGTTCTGCTCTTGCTTGTTTTTTTTTTGGGGGGGGAGGGCGAAGTTTGCACCCCTGCCCCCGACAAGTGGAACTTCTTTTTCTTTTCTGTTACTGACTTTAGATCGGTTGGAACCTTAACAGAGTCTGAGTACTTGTTGTTATCATTTTCCATGTCTGCCTTTGTGTTTCGCTTGGGTAAATTGCAGCTACCGTAGCAGAGAAGGAAGCCACTGCACAAGCAGAACTGCCAAAGAACTTCGACTTCAGCAACGAGGAGCGGTTGTACAAATGGTAGGCTGCCTCTTGGTGCTGGTTGCTTCATTTTCCCCTCTTCACATTGCAGCTTCATATTTTTGTTTGCTGGATGAGGATGAGCATCTGCACAATCACTTGAATGGTCTTGTCAGTCTGTAAGGGAAAAATGGTGGTATTTGATAACGCAGGTTTTTTGCATGTGTGTGTGTGTGTGTGCGTGTGTGTGTGTGTGTGTGTGTGTGTGTGTGTGTGTGGGTGTGTTCGTG